ACATCACAGTGTAGATAAAAACAATGAAGTCATAATGACAGTTTTAAGATAGCCGCCCCACTTTTGACACGCATCAAAGAGGAGCAAACATTTTTATCCGTAATTTATCCGTTTTTTCCCCCAAATCAGTCTTCTTCTTCGATCCGTCTGTCAGAAAACTTATATCAGGAGGCCGGTAGCCTTTATGAAAGCTACCGTGCATATCTTTTCGTGTACCATACAGTTTTGTCTTCATTCTGGTTGGAACAGGCCAAATTGCATCTCTGTTGTCAGCATACAGTTGACAGTGTTGGAGCACATGCTCGGCATTTTCGGGAGCCGCGCTGCAGGGACACGTCTCCGTATTTCCTACACCGAAAAATGTGAACACATATTGATCTGTTGTGCCCAGTCCTTAGTCTGAATATAATACACCGTCCCTCTCTAGAGAGGCGATGAAGCAAGTCTTGGGGAGAAAATCGGGTGTGTGTATCTAGCCACCTTTCTTGGATACTAGCTTGTATTAAGGGTTTCGTCTCTTGGTGAGTTAAGTCGCTATTTGGTTGTACCATGTCACTGCCGCAAATCAGTAAAGGGATAAAACCTTTAAACATTCTTCGGTGAATGGTGATGTATGTCTTTCATTTCAGCATGGATAACAGTGGAATGGGAAGTGTCAAAGCGAATGACTTCTGTGTCGGCGTGTCTGACCCGGTCGTTAACAGTCGTCTGTCATTGAAGTATGGCGTAGATAATGACATGGTTATTGTGATTTTGATCAGGTTACATTTTAGTCTTCCTCGTAGACTGTATGCCCCACTGATTCGTTTAGTACTGTGAGTATATTGCTGATGCAGAATTGTCAGTTATTTCATCTGTAAACTAGTGCATTGCACGGTGCGCTAGCTATGTTAGTTAAACCAGCTGCGCGGCGACAGGGTGACAAACTCCTAGTGGTCTGAGTGCCTGCTGGCGGGTACGCAAAAAAAAGTCCCACATTTCCCAGATTTACGGTATCTTTCATGGAATCGAGGCCGAAGGGTTGCGATATCCATAGCACCGAGCCAAAGGGTTTGCAACTCATGGTTTCTGGATTTTTTTATTCTTTTAATCTAGTGTTTTGTTCTGTTTATTTCACAGCTTGATTTGCCGCAGAGAGCTGTCACGGACAGCCAGGTTGAGGAAATGTGCCGCGAACTGTCATGTGTTCAATGGACGCCGGTTTCTGTAAAAGAGGGAATTCATGTTAACGAGGCGGTAACGTGAGTTTAAAAAAGCTTTGATAATAAATGTTTGCTAGTATTTAAAAAAACACGTAAAGGACCCTTTTCCACGCCTTTACGCGTATTGGGCATATAGGGCTAGACCTATACTTTATGAACAAAACGGCACTTGGTGGATGATGTGGTCAACATCACGCCGGGGGTATTTACTTCCCAATACTGTACCTGATACCCACTAAAGGATATGTCGACCTGGGAGCCAAGGTCATTTTTGAAGAACAAAAAAATACTGCACTCGTCAGGAACCGAACCCACGAACTTCCGATCCGAAGCCGAGCGTCTAGCATCTATACCACGGCGGCTTCGGAAATGTATGCTAGGCAACTCAGAAACACACGCCTTGCCCACCGACCCCTCTTCCACCGACCCCTCTTCCACCGACCCCTCTTCCACAGACCAAAGCCACAAATACCAGCCTTATTACCGCTGTCACAATCTTCTTCTTCTTCTTCTGAATAGGTTCATGTAAATGTGTGAGATTGTTTGGGTATATAAGGGTGTTTAAGGATGTGTGCATGTTTGTAGTAATGCCAGTGTAAGTATGTATATGCATTCAGGTGTATGTGTGTTTGGGTGTATATCTATGATTGCGTTTGTATGCAAGAGTGTATGTATGTGTAAATATGAGTGTGTGAGTGTTTATGTGAATGTATAACTGTGTGCATGCATGAGAGAGCACATGTGTGTGGAATGCACGTGTATGTTATGGATGTGTGCTTGTGTATGTATGAGTGCATGTTTATATAAAGGTGATTATACATGAGTGTGTGTATGTGTGTGTGTGTGCATCTATCTATCTATCTATCTATCTATCTATCTATCTATCTATCTATCTATCTATCTATCTATCTATCTATCTATCTATCTATCTATCTATCTATCTATCTATCTATCTATCTATCTATCTATCTATCTATCTATCTATCTATCTATCTATCCTATCTATCTATCTATCTATCTATCTATCTATCTATCTATCTATCTATCTATCTATCTATCTATCTATCTATCTATCTATCTATCTATCTATCTATCTATCTATCTATCTATCTATCTATCTATCTATCTATCTATCTATCTATCTATATCTATCTATCTATCTATCTATCTATTATCTATCTTATCTATCTATCTATCTATCTATCTATCTATCTATCTATCTATCTATCTATCTATCTATCTCTATCTATCTAATCTATCTATCTATCTATCTATCTATCATCTATCTAATCTATCTATCTATCTATCTATCTATCTACTATCTATCTATCTATCTATCTATCTATCTATCTATCTATCTATCTATCTATCTATTAGAATCTATCTATCTATCTATCTATCTATCTATCTATCTATCTATCTATATCTATCTATCTATCTATCTATCTAGCTATCTTATCTATCTAATCTATCTATCTATCTATCTATCTAGCTCTATCTATCGATCTATTAGCTATCTATCTATCTATCTATCTATGCTATCTATCATATATCTATCTATCTATCTATATCTTATCTATCTATCTATCTATCGATCTATCATATCTATCTATCTATCTATCTATCTATCTAATCTAGCTATCTATCTATCATATCGATCTATCTATCTATCTATCTATCTAGTCTATCTAGTCTATATATCTATCTAATCTAGCTATCATCTATCTATTCTATCTATCTATCTATCTATCTATCTATCTATCTATCTATCTATGCTTGAGTGCATATATGTGAACGCATGAGTGTGGGTGTATGTGTCCGTATGATCATGAGTACCTGTATGTATTCGTATGAGGGTGTGCATGAGTGTGAGTTTGCAAGTATATGTATGGACGTGCTTGTATCTTTGCACGTATGGGCATATAAGAGTGAACGTGTACGTGTATATTCGGAGTGTGTTTGACTGTGTATGCATGATGTGTGTATACGTTATTTCATTGTGCATATTAAAAAAAAAAAACATAACATGCATTATTGATAACATGGAGTTGTGGTCTGAAAGATTTGTGCTTGTAATGGCCGAATGTAAGACGGGCCTGCGTTCCCAGTTTGTAACCCTCTGCAAATCACATTCTTTCGTTCGTTTGCTCGTTCTTCTTCTCCTTCTGATTTTAAACAGCTCTATCTCCAACCTTCTGTAGCCACAAATAACAGCATCATCACCATCACTCTCATATTCTTCTTATTCTTCTTCTTGTTATTGTTGCTGTTGTTTCATCTTCTTCTTCTTCTTCTTCTTCTTCTTCTTCTTCTTCTTCTTCTTCTTCTTCTTCTTCTTCTTCTTCTTCTTCTTCTTCTTCTTCTTCTTCTTCTTCTCCTTCTCCTTCTTCTTCTTCTTCTTCTTCTTCTTCTTCTTATTTCTTCTTCTTCTTCTTCTTCTTCTTCTTCTTCTTCTCTTCTTCTTCTTCTTCTTCTTCTTCTTCTTCTTCTTCTTCTTCTTCTTCTTCTTCTTCTTCTTCTTCTTCTTTTTCTTCTTCTTCTTCTTCTTCTTCTTCTTCTTCTTCTTCTTCTTCTTCTTCTTCTTCTTCTTCTTCTTCTTCTTCTTTTTCTTCTTCTTCTTCTGTTTCTTCTTCTTCTTTTTCTTCTTCTTTTTCTTTCACTTCTCCTCAACCCCATTCTTTTCTTTCTCTTCCTATTGTGCTTGGTCTATAGTAGATATCGGCGATCACGATTACTTAGTCCTATCTGTTGTTTGATGTTTCAAAGAAGTGTTGCTGATATTATTTGCTTTCTCACCTGTCTAAGCTGTCCACATACACACATCTGTCTTCCTCTGCCACTCTTGTCTTGTATTTTCCCACATATAGGTTTACCGAATCAAATCAAATAAAAAAAATCTGTTTTCACGCCTTAGGCGCATCGGGTATATGGGAAGAGCTTCCCATATTTTTACAGACCAATCGGCACTAGATGGGTAATGTGGTCAGCATCACGCCAGCCGTCTTTACTTCCCAGGACAGCCATCCTGGTACCCACTTTAGACTCTGTCGACCTGCGACGCCCTATACCATGATAAACATCCTCCCAGCCACGAGTCGGACTCGCAGCGCCTAAGCCACGGACGCAGCACATATAAGTTAATAGACATCCTTATTTATTTGTATAATTTGCATTATTCTTTCAAATGTTGCTCTTAATATTTTTTCGGTTGAGCTAAAGACAGAAATTGTGCTATGAAAAGCTAGGTAACCGTATTAGCATTGATTCATTAAACTAGTGTATTTTCAGCACCAGATAACATAAGAAAAAAAAAGTAAAGATCCCTTTTCACGCCATTCGGCGCATCGGGCATATGGGCAGAGCGTCCCATATTTTTACAGACCATCAGCACTCTGTGGATAATGTGGTCAGCATTACGCCGGCTGTCTTTACTTTCCCAGGACAGCCCATCCTGGTACCCATTTTAGGCTGGGTCGACCTGCGATACCATAACATAGGTCTATTGATTACTCTACACATGATATTCACTTCTTAACGTATCTGTTCCAATCTTCTGTTATCATGATCCGTACATCTGTAGCGGTAAACCATATGACACTCTGTTTTGTACGTTTTGGTTATTTCAGTCCATTGAGACATGCAGCGTCTGTGGCTTAGGCGTTGCGAGTCCAACTCGTAATTCCAACGTACCGCGATCGAAACCCACTGCTGGCTGCATGGGTTTTTTCATGGTATGGGGCGTCGCAGGGCGACCCAGCCTAAAATGGGTGCTAGGATTGCTGTCATGGGGAAGTAAAGACTGCCGGCGTAATAATGCTGACCACATTACCCACCTAGTGCCGAGTCTGTAAAAATATAGGTGCTTTTCTCATATTCCGGATGGGCCTAAGGCGTGAAAAGGGATCTTTACTACTTCTCTATCGAAACCCACTGCTGGCTACATGGATTTTTATCAAAGTACGGGGCATCGCAGGTCGACCCAGTCTAAATTGGCTGCCAGGATAGCTGTCCTGGGGAAGTAAAGACGGCCGGCTTAATAATGCTGACCACATTACCCACCAAGTGCTGATGGTCTGTAAAAATATGGGTGCACTTCCCATATTCCCGATGCGCCTAAAGCACGAAAAGGGATCTTTACTACTTTACTTTAAGAGTCAGATGATGTTGCACTAAATTATACATATTCTGAGACAAAGTTGAAGTAACAATTTATCATCATCATCATCAGGTGCCTTGCCGTCTGGCGTGGGCGATCATGCCTCTCCATAATCTGCGATCTCCTGCAGCATGTATCAGTTCGTGTGCCGACGCACCTCCATACCATACAACAAGACTGCCAAGCATTTTCTCTCTTTGTCTTCCTTTCTATCTCTCCTTCCACAGATCTTTCCAGTGGTCACAACATGTTCTATTTTCCCTCTTCTCATAATATGGCAGAAAAAAGATGACTGTCTCCTTCTGATGTCTGTGATAAGTTGTCTTCGGGCTTCCGCCTCTTTCAAAACCTCTTGGTTGTTCTTTTTGGCTGTCCACGGTATTCTAAGTAACAATTACTTGGTTCTAAAGCTAGTGTTCTTTTCTTCTAACTCTCCTTCTTTTCGAGTTCACCATCTGTAAATTCCGGCAGAAAGTTCTGGTTGTTCGTCCATTACTGAATTTTTGCCCTGTTTCCGGAATTGAGTTCCGCGGGGCATATACGTTTTACAGATGTGGTTTATTTGTATGCTGACTGTTGGTTCCTTGCTTCGCATGCAGATGTACTCTGACTTCGAAGAAAATACCTGGGATTAGTCAAATGTAACAACAGGTTTTTTTGGGGATTATGGTGGAACGGGGAGAGAGAGAGAGAGAGAGAGAGAGAGAGAGAGAGAGAGAGAGAGAGAGAGAGAGAGAGAGAGAGATAGATAGACAGAGAGAGAGAGAGAGAGAGAGAGAGAAAAGAGAGAGAGAGAGAGAGAGAGAGAGAGAGAGAGAGAGAGAGAGAGAGAGAGATAGTAGCCCTAGAACCGCATGTGTAATTGAGTGTGTGAAATACGATGTTTACACACGTAACTTTCAATTCTCCAGATATCTTCTAGACGTCATCTTAGGCAGGTCGCCGAGATCCTACACTCAAAGTGAATTTGAGATTATAGACCATATTCATTTAGCTGATTTTGTTGAACAACCAAAGAAAAAGACATGCAAGGCGTGCCATTAGTCTATCTGCAGCAGTACCTTCTTTTCACATATAAATTTAAGCTAAAGAGAACGTCCTCCAAGGAATGCTGATGAAGAATGTGACGCCATCAAGTCTTCAATGTGGAAGGTATCAACGCAGATATGGAAAGAGGCACATGACAGCAGTCTGTTCATTAGCTATGTAATATAGTTTATAGGAAGCGTGATGCAAGCTAGAGGGTTGAAGAGGTGGACATATTTACTGTTTAAAGTTAAATTAAGAATCGATATTACAGCACTCGGGACTCTCACATAAGCGCTCCATCCGCATCTTCAGCAGCAAGCAAAGAAGGGTGAAAAGAGAAAGTATAGATAGAGTTAAGTAACAGTTTGCAAATAGACATGAGGTGTAACAGGTGCAGTAAATGAATCAATAAATCAATCAGTCAAGCATAGCCACCACTGCACCCCTGACATTTCCACACGTGCTCTGTCTCCTTCTTCATTAGCCAATGAGGAGTCAGCATGCTAATATTACCAGTTGTTCACGATATTCAGGTGTTCGAGATAACGAGCAGGCTGTTAGATTGACTGCTGCTGCTCCTCATGACAGGAGCTACATTATGATAAAGTTGGTGTGGTGAAGTCTCTATGGGATCAAATGGACAGTGCAATAGACCAGACGGAGAATCCACACACTGAAATACTAATTCAATAGGGTGTATGTAGAGGTTCTGGGAGATATCCAACACTGAGAGGAAAACAGAGGCAGACGTTTAATCAGGTTGCAGCCGGTGTTGTTAGCATGTCAACTTTTTATCTGTTACTGAAGAAGGATACGGAGCACGTGGGGAAATGTCTAAAGTGCAGTGATGTTAATTCTTCATTCATTCATTCACAGTACCTTCTTTTTTTCTTCTTTCGTTCGCCTAAAATAAGTTGTCTGTATCAGCAATTTTGTCTCTTGTATAAATGTCACTGTCGTTGTTAGTTCATTTAGTGGTCCATAGAGTTTACGTTCCACTGTTGTTCTTTCTGGCCAAAAGGTTTGCCTTAATGTGTCAAATTCGGTGCAGACCTGGAGTACATGCTCTGCTGTCTGGGGCATTTTTCCACAGGTGCACATGGCTGATACGCCTGTCTTGAATTTTGTGTACATGTGGTTACGTAATCGGTTGTGCCCTGTTCTGAGGCGGAGGATAATGACTTGTTCTGATCTGTCCATAATAAAATAGTCGTCTTGTGCTGGGGCTGGTGGTTTCCTTATCGATTTAATGATTCTTTTCTTTTTGTGGTATGTGACTAGTACATCCGGCTGCACTTTTGTCGCACCTTCCCCTCTCAGTTGATTAGCTTTTTCATTTCCAGGCACTCCACAATGAGACGATATCCACTGCATTAGGTCTCTTGGCTCATAGAATCAGCTGCAACATTATTAAAAGTCTGCAAATGTTTCCCTCCTTATGGTTGAATATCTGCCAGACCGTCTGCTCACCCCCACTAAATTAGTGTCATAGTCATCTCTTATCCTCTAGTTTTAAAGTGTATAAATGTAAAAGCCACCTTCCCCACCAGTGAGGCATTGGGCATATAAAGCTAAGTGTAAAAATAAAAGCCCCTTTCCCCACCAGTGAGGCATTGGGCATATAAAGCTAAGTGTAAAAATAAAAGCCAATTTCCCCACCAGTGAGGCATTGGGCATATAAAGCTAAGTGTAAAAATAAAAGCCACTTTCCCCACCAGTGAGGCATTGGGCATATAAAGCTAAGTGTAAAAATAAAAGCCACTTTTCCCACCAGTGAGGCATTGGGCATATAAAGCTAAGTGTAAAAATAAAAGCCCCTTTCCCCACCAGTGAGGCATTGGGCTTATAAAGCTAAGTGTAAAAATAAAAGCCACTTTTCCCACCAGTGAGGCATTGGGCATATAAAGCTAAGTGTAAAAATAAAAGCCCCTTTTCCCACCAGTGAGGTATTGGACATATAAAGCTAAGTGTAAAAATAAAAGCCACTTTCCCCACCAGTGAGGCATTGGGCATATAAAGCTAAGTGTAAAAATAAAAGCCCCTTTTCCCACCAGTGAGGTATTGGACATATAAAGCTAAGTGTAAAAATAAAAGCCACTTTACCCACCAGTGAGGCATTGGGCATATAAAGCTAAGTGTAAAAATAAAAGCCCTTTTTCCCACCAGTGTGGTATTGGGCATATAAAGCTAAGTGTAAAAATAAAAGCCCCTTTCCCCACCAGTGAGGCATTGGGCATATAAAGCTAAGTGTAAAAATAAAAGTCCCTTTTCCCACCAGTGAGGTATTGGACATATAAAGCTAAGTGTAAAAATAAAAGCCCCTTTTCCCACCAGTGAGGTATTGGAATGAAAAATGTGGTCAACACCCCACAGGATGTCTTCAGAAATGGCTGGACTAGCCATCAATAGTGGTCTGTAGCTCCAGCAATGATCCCTTGTGATCTCTGAATTAAATGATGGAATCCCAATGCGAACCCATGACTTTGAGACATAAGGTAAACAGCTTAACCACAACACCATGACAACATCCTAGAACCAATCATTAGACCTTCGAAGTGCACACTTTTTCCTCTGAAAGTCTATGCGATGTGGCATTTGTAGTCATGTCTATCCACCATCTGCTGCTTTGTGTACTTTTATTCAACTCTGACACAGATGATCCTCCATGCCATGATGTCAAACTGTGCAACATCTGTTTTCTCTTGGTCTGCCTCTCCTTCCCTCCAACATTCCTACTATCACGATGTACTCCAGTTTTCTCATCATACAACAAAAGAATATAAATTGCCACCTTCTGATGTGGGCAAAAGTTCTCTTTAATCACACGCACACACACACACACACTTACAAACTACTGTATTTATGAAATACTACAGAATACTCTCCTTTTCATTCCAGGGTACTATTTTATCTAACAATGGTTTATTCTGTACCTTAAAGAATTGTATTATCTTGTTTGTTTGTTAATTATGAAACAGAAAGGAGTCCCCGTGGTGGAGCGGTTAGACACTTGCAGCGGGTCAGAAGGTCGTGGGTTTGCTCCCAGGCGGAGCCAGACTTTTTTCCAAAACGACACCAACTCCCAGGTGGACCCAGCCTTGAGTGGGTACTGGGTGCAGTCCCAGGAAGTAAAGACGGCCGGCGTGATGCTGACCACATCACAAATCTTGTGCCGACTCGTCTATAAAATATAGGTCTAGCCCTATATGCCCTATACGCCTAAAGGCGTGTAAAAGGGTCCTTTACTTTTTACTTTACTATGAAACATCAAGGTACTTAAACATAAAAGGGTCTTATTTTCTCATCCCTGAATTAAGAAATTAATGGAAACATTACACCCAGGTTATTTAATTTAAATTGTTTTTATTCATAGTTTTTTTTTTCAAATACATAACATTATCATCAATAATCAATACGCACATGCATACATACTTTCCATAAACTTATGTACATCGGAACATACAGTATGTACAAGCATATTTAAGGAAACAAAGCTGAAGAAACTGCACATACAAACACAAACACACACGCGCACGCAAACATACACTCACACACACACACATGCATGCACACACGCACAGACACATATTTGGAGTATGAAATATACATAAACAATCTATTTACAAAGTATGCAATTCCCAAACATGCTTCCTGCAGATCAAAGAACATTTCCACATACTCATGCATTTTACAACAATTCACACAACGTAACAAACAGGGCAAGATTTGTATAATTTGAAAACTATGACAAAATTTGCAGGATATTATAATTTAAAAAAAAAATGATTAAAATGAAGCTTACATTTTCAAACAGTTTATAAATAATAACACAAAATGTTGTAAGAATGTATATGTTATAACAAAGCTTGCAGATTCATTTTCCAGTTACCAAAGTTTCTGCAATCAACTTTCCCTGCAATACAATTTCTATAATTAAAATTTCCATAAACTAAATTTTGCTTCCCACAGAATTTCTACTATAAACTTTCCCTTCCATAAAACCTTTTTATAAACTTTAGAATCACAATTTTTTTTTTTAACCATGAACTTTCCTTTAAACATAACTGATATAATAAATTCTCATGTATATGTAAAAGGCAATACTTAGCTCATAATGTGAATTTAAAAAACATGTGAATGAAACTATGTGAAAATATTTTTTCAAAGCTAATTTACATTTGAACGGTTATTTCCCATCAATTAAAAATGACAGTTTAGAAAGAAAAAAACTGTTGAGAATTTAATCTTTTCCCTTGTAAGAATTTTTGTTATACATGCATGTAATATTTTTTTTATTTTTTTAATGTTGATATATTTTTTTAATATTATTTTTTAGCACTATTATAAGATATTTTAAAGTTTATTTGCTTTTAAGAAGAATTAGTAATAATTATAAAAGATTTTTTTTTAAATTACAACAAATGACAGACTTAGATGATGTAAATTTAGACATCAATAAATGAAGATGGAGTTAGATTGGACATATCCCCAGAATGAAGAAGGAGAGATGGCCGAGACACGTTATGCAATAGACACCACTAGACAGCAAGAAAGAGGCAAGCCCAGAGGCACTTGTAGGTGAACTTTTGAGGCTGAACTCAAGGCTACGTGAATGACAAAGAGGAATGATAGAGAGGATAGCTAAGATAGAACTGAGTGGCAGTCTGTCTCTGCCTTATGTGACCACTGGGCGCGATGAGGATTGATTGATTGATTGATTTCTGGTTAATAACACCAAAATAGTCTTTTTTGTTTCTTGAGACATTGAATGTTAATGTTTTTTTTCCAGTTTGTAATTTATTATTGTATTTAATACAGTTTATTTTGGACAATTGTAATGTTTAGATAACATGTATATGTTTATTTCTATAAGTATATATTCATATGATAAAATTAGTAACTGCCCCGCGTAGATTCCGGGGCCTCCTCAACAAGCATGTCATAGAAGTTGACAAATTGGGGACTTCCTTTCAAGTCAGTGTGCATCTGCCCAAGCAGCAAGGAACAACTAACTG